GAGGTGGGAGGGTGGAGGCGTGGGGGGTTGGCTCAGAGGATGGGACAGAATCTCTGGGCCTGGGCTTTGTGAGGAACAGGATACACCCTCCCTTTCCTGCTGAACACCATGTCTCCCCTCTGTCCCTGCAGGAGCCCTGGGGGAGACCGCCCTGCACGTGGCCGCCCTCTACGACAACCTGGAGGCCGCCCTACTGCTGATGGAGGCCTCCCCCGAGCTGGTCCGGGAGCCCATGGTGTCTGAGCTGTACGAGGGTGAGGGACGCCCCACACGCAGGTGCTGCCCACGAGAGCGGCCTTCCACACCTGCCCTGCGGGCCTCCAGAGGCCCCGGACACAAGCCCCTGTTCCTCCTACCCCCACCTCCGCCTCTTCCCCTCAGTCAGGAGCACCTGACCCCCATGTAGGGGAGGGGGATGAGGACCCAGCCCAGGGCTCCCCGCTCTCCCTGGGACAGGACCTCACAGCCCCAGGACCCGCAGGATGGAAGGACAGTGTCCCTCACTCTCTTCTCTCTCTCTCTGTCTCTCTGTCTCTCTGTCTCTCTCTGTCTCTCTCTCTCTCTCTGACCAGGCCAGACCGCACTGCACATCGCTGTGGTGAACCAGAACGTGAACTTGGTGCGTGCCCTGCTCGCCCATGGGGCCAGCGTCTCGGCCAGAGCCACGGGGGTGGCCTTCCGCCGCAGCCCCCACAACCTCATCTATTTTGGTGAGAACTTGAGGTGGGGCAGGAGGGAAGGGCCGGCCTTCTGGCCAAAGCCCCACAACCTCACCTACTTCAGGGAGAGCCTGGGGCTGGGAGGAGGGGCGCAGGGAGGGGAAGGGGTGACCAAAGCCCCTACTAGCTCATCTATTTCAGTGAGGGGCCATGCAGGGAGGGAGGGAGGGGCGAGAAAAGGAAGCAGGAGAGGATGTGGAGTAGGGGAGGGGAAAGGAGAGAGAAGGGGTGGAGCAAGATGGGGAGGGGAGGGGGTGCATGGGGAATGTTAAAGGGGAGAGAGTGGGAGGAGGGAAGGAGTGGCTAGCAGAGGGGGGAAGGGGGCAGGGGGTTCAGGGGGCCCCACAAGGACCCCTGAGCTAAGCTGGAGGTCACTGGTCTCTGTCCCCAGGGGAGCACCCTCTGTCCTTTGCTGCCTGTGTGGGCAGTGAGGAGATAGTGCGTCTGCTCATTGAGCATGGAGCGGACATTCGCGCCCAAGATGCCCTGGGTAAGAGGGGGCCCTAGGGTGAAGGGTCACACTGTGTCCTGGGGGTGAGGGGTCACACTGGGCTTGGGGGGAGAGGGGTCACACTGGGTCCTGCAGGTGATGGGTTATACTGGGCCCTGGGGGTGAGAGGTCACACTGTGCCCTGGGGGTGAGGGGTCGCACTGGGACCTGGGGGTGAGGGGTCACACTGGGACCTGCAGGTGAGGTCTCACCCAGGCTGGGGCACTGCTAGCCACCTGACACCCTGTCCCCGCAGGAAACACGGTCCTGCACATCCTCACACTGCAGCCTAATAAGACCTTCGCCTGCCAGATGTACAACCTGTTGCTGTCCTACGACGGGCGCCAGGGGGACCCCTTGCAGCCGCTGGACCTCGTGCCCAACCACCAGGGTCTCACCCCCTTCAAGCTGGCCGGGGTGGAGGGCAACACTGTGGTGAGGATGAGCCCCTCCCCCACACTGGCCCTCCCTCTGTGTCCATGGGTCTCCAGAGCCCCCAGCCCAGGGCAGGACCCTCTCTCCTCTCCCCTCACTCTGGTCCCTGCTGTCTAACCTGCCCCTGCCCCCATCTCTCCCAGGCCTTAGGGCTCCTGTGTGCACCCCACCCCCTGAGGTGTCTGTGAGGCAGGTGCCCACCTGCCCTGTATCCTGCACAGCCCTCAGCTTCTGAGCCCCTCCTGCACCCTGCACAGCCCTCAGCCCCTCCTGCGCCCTGCATGGCCCTCAGCCCCTTGTGTACCCTGCACAGCCCTCAGCCTCTCAGCCCCTCCTGCACCCTGCACAGCCCTCAGTCTCTCTGCCCCTCCTGCACCCTGTACAGCCCTCATCAGCCCCTCCTGCAAGCTGCACAGCCCTCAGTCCCTCCTGCGCCCTGCATGGCCCTCAGCCCCTCCTGCACCCTACACAGCCCTCAGTCTCTCTGCCCCTCCTGCACCCTGCACAGCCCTCAGTCTCTCTGCCCCTCCTGCGCCTTCCATGGCCCTCAGCCAAGATCAGGAGAAGCAGAGATGGGGTCAAGTCATGGTCATGTGTGCCCATGCTGTGGTCATAGAGGAAGCACAGCTGCCCCTCCAGCATCCTTGTCCGCAGAGAACCCCACCTCCCCTTGTGACTGTCCCCCTAGAAGGTGTCCACCCCTTCCTGATTCTCACCTCCCGCCCTAGATGTTCCAGCACCTGATGCAGCGGCGGAAGCACATCCAGTGGACCTATGGGCCGCTGACCTCCACCCTCTACGACCTCACTGAGATCGACTCCTGGGGAGACAAGCAGTCACTCCTGGAACTCATTGTTACTACCAAGAAGCGGGAGGTATGGGCAGTGGACAGGAATCAGTGGGCAGGGGGGAAATGGGCAGGCCAACTGGTACAGGCTTGGAGTAAGCTGGAGGGTAGGTACTCGGGAAGGACACTTAGTAGGTGGGGCAGCTGGCACAGGCTGGCTTGTCTGGGAGCAAGCAGGAGGCATAGGCATTGAGAAGAGATGTTGGGTAGAAAGTGGTGGTCGTCAGGGCAACTAGCACAGGCTGGCCAGCCTTGAAGTAAGCAGGTGTGAGCATTGGGCAGGCACACTGAGCAGATGGGGCAGCTAGAGCTGGCTGGCAGTTCTAGGAACAAGTGCAGGTTTTAGACATTGGACAAGACCATAGGGTAGGGGCTGGTAGGCAGGGCTGTCGGTACCGGCTGGACGGGCTGGGAGCAAGCAAGAGGTGTGGGCATTAGGTTGGGGCGTGAACAGGTCGGGTACATGGTGCAGCCAGCAGGTCTCTGAGCCGCCCTCCCATTCTGCGCAGGCGCGCCAGATCCTGGACCAGACGCCAGTCAAGGAGCTGGTGAGCCTCAAGTGGAAGCGGTACGGGCGGCCGTACTTCTGCGTGCTGGGCGCCGTCTACCTGCTGTACATCGTCTGCTTCACCATGTGCTGCGTCCACCGCCCCCTCAAGCCCAGGCTCAGCAACCGCACAGACCCCCGAGACAACACCCTCCTGCAGCAGAAGCTGCTCCAGGTGAGCCCCTTCGCAGACGTGGCATGTCCTCCCCACTGGACCGTACTTCTCTCCCCTCCCCCGGTCTCAAACGCATGCCCAGCAGCCCAGACGGTGCCCAGACGTGGAGACGCGTCCGCTTGTCTTCTGAGGGCAGGCCTGGGAACAGCCCGGCTGCTGGTCAGGAGAACCAGCAAGCAGGAGCCTCAGAGCCCCCTTCTCCCCTCAGGAAGCCTATGTGACCCCCAGGGACAGCGTCCGCCTGATGGGGGAGCTAGTGACCGTCTGTGGGGCCGTGGTCATCCTGTTCTTGGAGGTGAGGTGGGTGGGGGACAGGTGTGGCCGGCTGCCCAGGTGTCCACCTGAGCTCCGCTCCACTGGTGCTTGTCTCCTCTGTCTCCCCAGATCCCAGATATCTTCAGGATAGGAGTCACCCGCTTCTTTGGACAGACCACCCTTGGGGGGCCATTCCACATCCTCATGTACGTCTCTTTCCTCCCTCGTCCTTCCCCTCATCCGGGCTCCTCTCCCACCTTGGAGAATCTTCATCCATGGTTCTCCAGAGATGCACTGTGCTGAGGTCTGGGGGGTGGATACTGGGCTGGAATGTGTGGGTGCGGTTACCTTATAGCTACTGGTCCCCACAGTAGCACGGCCTCCTCTCCGCATTCTCCAGTGTCACTTACGCCTGCATGGTGCTGGTCATCATGGTCATGCGGCTCACCAACACCGATGGGGAGGTGGTGCCCATGTCCTTTGCCCTGGTGCTGGGCTGGTGCAATGTCATGTACTTCGCCAGAGGCTTCCAGATGCTGGGCCCCTTCACCATCATGATCCAGAAGGTCAGTGCTTCTCTCAGTTCCCTCCTGCTCGCAGCTGCAGGATGTTCTGCTTGAGAAAGGCCCTTGAGCAGGGCTCAGAAGCGTGCCTGTGAGAGGCCGCACGTACTGTCGTTTCAGGCTTTGTGGATGATGTGTGCTCTCTTCTCCTCTCCCATCATCTCCTCCTGTCACATCGTCTCCTCCTCTCTCATCTCCAATCCCATGTCCTCCTCTCCATCTCCCATCTCCTTCTCTCCCATCTCCTCATCTTCCATCATCTCCTCCTCCAACATCATCTCCTCCTCTCTCATCTCCCCTCTCATCTCCTCCTCTCTCACCTCATCTCTCATCTCCTCTCTCACCTCGTCTCTCATCTCCTCTCTCACCTTGTCTCTCATCTCCTCCTCTCTCATCTCCTTCTCTCTCATCTCCGCCTCTCTCATCTCCTCCTCTCTCATCTCCCCTCTCATCTCCTCCTCTCTCACCTCATCTCTCATCTTCTCCTCTCCCATCTCCTCTCTCACCTCATCTCTCATCTCCTCTCTCACCTCATCTCCCATCTCCTCCCTCACCTCGTCTCTCATCTCCTCTCTCACCTCGTCTCTCATCTCCTCTCTCACCTCGTCTCTCATCTCCTCTCTCACCTTGTCTCTCATCTCCTCCTCTCTCATCTCCTTTTCCATCTTCTCCACTCCCATCTTGTTCTCCCTCCTGTTGCTGCTCCTCCTTCTCTTCTTCCTTCTACTCTTTCTCCTTCCTCTTCCTCTTCTTATAGTCCTGTCCCTCCTCCTCCTCCTGCTGCCTTTATAAAATGTGAGAACTGGTCAAGGGCTGTGAACAAGTGTGGGTGGACCTCACCTGCAGGCTCTGCTTTGCCATCACCTGTCCTAGAGGGTGGAGCTGCTAGACTTGTGGACGTGGCTATTAGAGGCTGGACAGGTGACGGCTTGGGACATGTGATGCTGAAGGCGACGCTCCCCCCTCCCTCCAGATGATCTTTGGAGATCTGATGCGTTTCTGCTGGCTGATGGCCGTAGTCATCTTGGGCTTTGCCTCAGGTAAACACTCTGTCTGGTGGGGATGTGAGAGAGAGAAACTGAGAAGGTCCGGGGTAAGTGGGAGGTCAAGCAGAGGAGGCAGTGTGGTGTCTGAGAATAGATGTTAAGCCCAAAAGGAGAGACTGGGAATGCCAGAGAGAGGTGGCTCTTAGTGTCAGAACAAACCTAAATCAAACCCAGTGCCTTCAAATCCAACTCCTGGCCACGAGGCCATAAATGTCTGGACTTCCCCTGTGGACTGCTAATGGACTGGAACTGCTCACCTTCTGGTTGGCAGCCTACATGCTGTGCACTACACCTGGGCTTCCTGGCATCAGGAGAACTGTGTAGGGAAGACAACCCGGGCACGAGCCTGGCGGAGCTGGGTGATGACACTGGCCAGGAGGAGAGTCCAAAGCTAGATGTCATTGCATGTAGTGGGCTCTGACTCCTGCTGGGCCCGTGGGACAGCTGAACTGCCCCTCAGCTTTCCGCGGCTGTAAACCTCTTCAGGACCAAGCTGCTTCCTGTCTGCCGTGCAGCAGCTGCTGGGTGCAAACCACCAACCTTCCCAATAGCAGCCAAGCACTTAACTCTATGCTACCGGGGCTTCTGCAGTGGGGGTTCGGGAGGAAGCAGGACCAAAAGGTCCCCAGATCCCCCGGAGATGATGTGGGCTGGGCACATGCACTTTCCACACTAACCTTCACCCCCCATGCACGGGACAGCCTTCTACATCATCTTCCAGACGGAAGACTCCAGCAAACTGGGCCATTTCTTCAATTACCCCATGGCGCTGCTCAGCACCTTCGAGCTCTTCCTCACGGTCATCGACGGGCCCGCCAACTACGACGTGGACCTGCCCTTCATGTTCAGCGTCACCTACGCCGCCTTCGCCATCATCGCGGCCCTGCTCATGCTCAATCTCCTCATCGCCATGATGGGGGACACTCACTGGAGGGTGGCCCATGAGCGGGACGAGCTCTGGAGGGTCCAGGTGAGTCCCCGGCGGGCTGGAGGGGCTACTGCAGCTCACCACTGCCGCCAAGGAGTGGACCTAGCTCAGAAAGGCCATCTTGTCCCCCATTTGCACTGCTAGTCTACAGGATATAGCAGTATACAAAGAGCTGCACTCACAACACTGCCACATGTCTCAGGGGCTGTCGAGACGGTCCCTACTCACCCGAGCTCACACTAGAGCCAAGCCTGCCCTGTCCTGCACTTCCTCACAATCACGGCTCTGCTGGAGCCCAGAGCTGCATCACCATGGTCAGCCAGCTCACTGAGGGTCTTCCTCTCTTTTACTGACCCCTTACTTCTCCAAGTAAAATGTCCTCCAGGGACTGGCCCATCCTCATAGCATGTCCAGAGTATACCCATAGCCTCACCATGCAAGCACTGCTGGTATACAGACACCAGCATTGCCACTGAGCCGGCTCTGACTCGGAGCCACTGTGTGAAGAGGCCTGTCCTCGTAGGGTTTCCAATGGCAGACTTCTCAGGAGGATATGGGTACATCTTTCTTCTAAGCTGCCTCGAGGTGGATTCAAACCTCCAACCTTTAAGTCAGCAGCCAGGAGTTAACTGTTTGCACCATTCAGAGGTTCCAACAGCTGAAAAGAAGCCCCCCCCCAAAAAAAATCTCTCAACAATTGTCAAGAAAAAGAAGCAAGAAGGAAACTGCAGTTTTCCAAAATTACCAAGAAAATGAAGCCACGGGTTAAGCCTGCATCTGACAAACTGCATCAGAGAATGTGAACACCAAGTCAGATCTCCCTGACGGTGTTACAATCTGCAAAATCTGACCCAGAATGCTCAGACCTGCTCAATGCTGGTGCCAGAGAAACGGAAGCTGTCTATGGCCTCACCCTGTGATGGGACAAAAGCGGTTAAGAAAACCCTCTCTCTCAGGCATTCTTACAAAATAACTTGTCACAGTAAAAACTATTCCAAGAAGGAAAGACAATCTAACTTCTCCATAAACATTCATTAAAATCACAATTAAAATAAAATTTTATTTAAAAAAATTTAAACTGTAATAAAGTTGAATTGCGATTAGTTAAAAAAAAAAAAACACAACACAAACCCAAAACTCCACAAAATAAGACAACTATTGCAGCAGCATTAAAATGGGAATTCTAAAATTCCAAAGCCTTCTAACCGTACTTTGTAAGAAGCCAGATAAAGAGACCATGGAAATGGAGCTTGTGCAGGAAAGCATTTTCTCCATGAAGAATGTGCGATATATCGATGCGGATTTCTGAACAGAATGCCGACTGTCGTGGAAGTGAGCTGCGCACTTGGTGGGTCAGAGGAACTTGCTTCCCCCAGGACCCTTTTAACATTGGCTCATTTTGACCTCACTTCCCTGGAAAGAAGCTTCAGCTCCTGCAGAATCAGCATGAAGTCCCATGGTGCTGGCCACTGGATCAAGGTCAAGTAGTCATGTCCCATCAGCTCTCTCCCAGAAGAGTGTTGGCAGAGTTGGGCTACTAATGTCGCCTGTGTGGCTCATCTGACACTGGCCCAGAGAGTGTCTGCTGCTGTTCATAGGTTTTCACTGGCCACTTTTAACAAGCGCATCTCTCATCCTTCCTAGCCTACCTTAGTCTGGAAGTTCACGTACTCTGATCATGCTATCAGGAGGAAGCTGAGTTTGAACATGTCAGGTGTGGTAGACAATCAGTGACAGAGGAAGCCATTAGCAAGAAGGACTAACACCGTGACCATAACAATGGGCTTAAGCACACGATGGGCTGTGAGGTGGTGCTGGACGGGGCAGGGCCTCCTCTGTTGAACACAGAGTCACTGTGAGTGGGAGCTGATTCAATGGCACCTAACAACGACATCCAGGGCTCCAGTACCCCGTCCCTTCCCCTGCGCCGTGTCCTCTGACTTCTTTTCTGACCCTTGCAGGTCGTGGACACCACAGTGATGCTGGAGCGGAAGCTACCTCGCTGCCTGTGGCCTCGCTCAGGCATCTGTGGGCGCGAGTACGGGCTGGGTGACCGCTGGTACCTGCGGTGAGTGCCAGGCTGGGTCAGTGGAGACCTGAGCACGCCTTGTGTTTTGCTAAGGTCACTCTGTTCCCAGGGGCCCTACAGGGTCTGCATTCCTTGCACACAGAGAACTGAGTTATGTTGAGGGACAGGCCAGCAATGTAGAGGTCCCCCAGAGCAACTTCTGTCTTGGTGGCCTTGGGGGATAGCAGCTGCAGAGTTTGGGGGAGTGTGTGGGGTGGAGCCAGGAAGCCAGCTCTGGGGTTCTCTTCTCAATGCTTCTTACTCCATAGGAGTAGAATAGGGCCTGGAGGTGGGAGCAGGAGACCAGGTAGGGTGGGCTGAGGGTCAGGAGATGAGCTGGGGTGGGGTTGGGGCAGGAGGTCAGTCCTGGGGGATATCTATTCCCGGTAAATACGTTCAGGGCCATGTGCTTACAGGGTGATATGGGCACAGGAGGTCAGCCCACCTGTTCTCAAGCCTTATACCCCACAGGTGGAGGCCAGGCGGGGTGGGGTGAGGTCCAGGAGATGAGCTGGGGTGAGGTGGAGGCAAGCTGGGGGACAGTTTCAGGGCCACATGCTCCCAGGGTGGGGTTGGGGCAGGAGGTCAGCCCTGCGGACCAGCTCTCACAGGCTCACGCCCTACAGGGTGGAAGACAGGCAGGACCTGAACCGCCAGCGTGCTCGGCGCTACGCACAGGCCTTCCAGAACCCAGGCCCTGAAGATGTGGATGGCAACTCAGTGCAGAAGCTGCAGCTGGACCGGCCCCTGGGCCACCACCTGCCTGTCCCCACGCCCTCCGTGTCACGAAGCACCTCCCGGAGCAGCACCAACTGGGAGCGGCTGCGCCAGGGAACCTTCAGGAGGGAGCTACGAGGCCTGGTCAACCGGGGCCTGGAGGAAGACGGCTACAGCTGGGAGTATCAGATCTGAGCGCCCGCAGGACAGTGCCTGCCCCAGCCGGGGCAGGGCCAGGACAGAGCCGGACAGGGCCAGGGCAGGACCAGGCAGGGCTGGGACAGAGCTGGACTGGGCCAGGGCAGGACCGGGCAGGACCGAGACAGAGCCGGACAGGGCCCGGGCAGGGCTGTGCAGTGCCCTGCCTGGGGAGGTGCTGTCCGAGGGAGGGATCATCAGCCGCTGGCCACATCCCTTCTGAGGAACTGCCACAGTGGCCAGCAAAGCACTTTATGGACATGAGTTGCCTCTAGTCCAGGCCCCGCCCTGCAAGATAGTGGGAGGGACCGCTCTCCCGTGGTGCTCTGGACAGGGGGGGTAGCTGGACTGGACAGGCGTGTGAGGGCATAATGAGACCGGGAAGGGCCAGGTCAGGGGAGTCTTGCCTCCCTCCTTCCAATAAAGTCACTGCTGCTCTCACTTGCCCTGTGGGGCCCTGCACCCTCCTGGTCACCTCCGAGCCCCCCCTTGTTTCCTTGGAGACAGAGGCTGCCACACCACCGACTTGCAAAATCCCTTTTTCCCTTTAATATGTGGGGGCAGAGGGGGGAAGGCTGTGCAGTGTCTGAGGGGCCAGCCTGGTGGGCGGAGGCTCCAGTGGAGGCTGACCATCTCCGTCTCCCTTGGCCCTGTGTCCAGGGCAGTCCTGTCAGTACCCTCATCGCCTGGACATCAGACCTCCACAGAGCCCAGTGGCCGCAGGTGCTGCTTCAGGAGCTGGACGTTATGCAGGAGTTTCTTCTGGTGGCCGGCCAGTGTGACACCCAGGGCGGGCAAGTCCCTAGAGGAGAACATCCCATCAAGCCTGCGCCATACACCCCACACCTCACAGGGGATACCATACCTGTGGGGGACATTCTGCACCCCACTAAGGACACTCCACACTGCTGGGGGCCCCGTGCTGCTTACTCAAGGCTAAGCTGGGCCACATCGTTGAAGGAGCAGAACCCCAGCCTGGCAAAATTGTCCTGGTAGCATTCAAGTCCAATGGCTGAGAGCCAGGCCTGGGGGGAGTCCAGGGACAGGAAATCCAGAGCCACAGGGTCCAGGAGGGACTGGGGGGGTCTGGGAGGAAAGGGGGTGGCAGGTCACAGTCCCTCACTGTCCCAGCTGCCCTGTCCTGGGTGTACAGTCACCACCCCATCTCCACCAGCCCCCTCCTCAGCTTTCACTTTCATATGGACCCCAGCTGGCACACTCATTCCCCCCCACCTGTCCCGGGGCCCCCCAGTGGCCTGCAGAGTGTCCGGCTTTCGGATCATCTTGTCCAGTGCTGCCACCAGCTGGTCAAAGTTGGGCCGCTGGACACTGTCCTTCTGCCAGGTGTCCAGCATAAGCATATGTAACCCAGGAGGGCAGCCTGGGGGTGGAGGCAGTCGAAACTCCTGCTCTATAGCGTTGAGGACCTGGGATCAGAAGAAGACACAGGGCAGGTAGACAGTGGCCCCTCAGGTGGGCGGGAGGGGGCCAAGGGGACAGCATGGATGAGAGAGATGGAGTCTGGAACAGTGGGCAGGGGACAGCAAGTGCTCCTCTGAGGAGGGGCCGGAGGTGCTGCGTGCAGGGCTCACCTCCTGGTCACTCATGTCCCAGTATGGCCGCTCTCCATAGCTCATCACCTCCCACATCACTACCCCAAAGCTCCAGACATCACTGGATGTGGTGTGCTTTGCCTGAGTGATGACCTCGGGGGCTGCCCAGCGAAGCATGCAGCCTGGGCCCTGTGGAAGGCAGGGGCGACAATGGGAGCAACAGGTCTGCCAGTGTTGGGGCACAACCTCACCTGAAAATACAACCCTGTATAGCCCGTCCACACCCCTGCGGTGCATGAGACCAGCTCTACCTGACAGACGCAGGCCCAGCACAGACAGAGATGACCATATCCAAGGTCAGCTGACAGGAACATGGCATTTGGGGTGCCTCTGGAGGCTGCAGGCTGACCTCCATTGAGGGAGTCCCTTTCTCTAAACCTCTGAGTAGTCCCTGAATAAGGACCTCTATACCGTCAACAGACTCTCACCACCCCCCGTTTTCCCTGGACACATATGTCCCCACCTGAGGCATGTGGCCAAGACGTGCCACCTTGCACACCAAGTGGCTGTTGACCAGCACGCTGTGGGCTGACAGGGCGCGGTGCACGAAGGCCAAGCTGGCCAGGTGTTGCAGGGCGGCTGCCACTCCCCTCTGCATGGCCACCAGCTGCAGGCTGCTGAACTGGCCTTCTCGTTGCTGGGGAGCAGAGTCAGTGTGGGTGGGCGGAAGGACACACAGATGTGGGAGCAGTGAAGGACAGAGCATGGACCTAGGGTACAGCAAGGCAGGATGCCACCCCCTCATGGACCCAGTCCACTGACCCTGAGGAAGCTATCCAGGGGTCCCAGCTCCATGAGCTCGGTCAACATCATGATCGGCCTACTCCGAGTCACCACGCCCTCCAGCCGCAGGATGTTGGGGTGCTGGAACTGGCCCAGTACAGCTGCTCGGCCCAGGAAGGCTGTCTGCAAGCTCTCGGAACCCCCGCCCCACAGCGCCTGGACAGCCACGGCCTGCTCCCGGCGGCCCCGGGGCTGCAGTCGGCCCCGACGCACCTCTCCAAAGGAGCCTGAAGAACAAGGGTGATGAAGGGCCACCAAGGTGACTGCGGCTCCCAGGGTCTCCCCAGTCACCTGCCTGCAGTACCTGCCCCAATGACCTCTTCAAGCTTGATGTACGCAGGGTCCAGCTCCCGGGCCAGCTCCCGCACTGCCTGGCAGGGGTCCTCATATGCAGAGGGATCGATGTAATACTTTACCCCAAGACCTGTGGGATGGGGTGCACAGGTCAGACTAACGTCCTGAAGACCCGGGCCACCAAGGACTCTCCCCAGTTTGGCAGTGTCCACTTTAGGCCCCCTCCCTCCCTCCCGAATGCCCACCTGGGCTGCTGTGCTGCTGGAGACGCTCCGTGTAGCCAGTCCCATGCTGCTTTCTGGGCACAGAGCAGAGGTCCTGAATGATACCCAGGCCCATGCCCCTGCCACTCCCACAGGTGGCTCCCAGCCCCCATTTATGGAGAAGGGGTGCAGGGCCCCTACTTCTCAATGGGCTAGGGTGGAAAGTGGCTTTACTGTGAGGTTCTGGGGCCTCTCTAGGCTGGGGGCCATGAAGAATGGAGAGGATAGGGCAGGGAGGGGGGTCCTCACCTCCGGAAGACCAGAGCCAGCACCAAGATGGCCCCCAGCAGGAGGAAAGCCAACGCCCCCAGGACGGAGCCCACTAGCCATGACAGCCTCTCTGGGAGTTGGCCGGACAGCTCACCTGAGGGGAGCCATTGAGTCATTCTCTGTCTCTCTTCCTCTGTCTGTCTCTCTCTCTCTTTGTCTCTCTCTCTCTTTCTCTTTCTCACACCCCCCCCCCATATACACATATACATACACACATTCAGCCTCAGGGCCTTATACCAACACACACATATGCATCCAGGGTCATAGCTGGGCCAGTACGCCCCTTACACAGACACACAGAAACACAGTCACAGCTAACTTCTCCTCATACGCATACAAGTGCATACGAGATCTCAGGAGGGCAAGCCACCCACATCGGTGGGTGCTAGGCCTGACCACTCAGTGGGGCTGTCCTGCAGAGCCTCAAGCTGCCAGACACTGGGTGCCTGTTAGACCTGGGCATCTGCTGCCCCTTCACCCACTGGTCCCCTCTGCCAGCCCTCCCGCCCAGGAGCCCCGGCGCCCACCCGCTGGCCGGCACCCACGCACCCTCACCCTGAGGCAGCGTCTGGAAGTAGGCCTTGCCCCCGTAAGGGCCGTGCCCCGCAGCCGTCCGCGCGCGCACCTGGAAGCCGTAGATGTGGCCGGGACTCAGCCGGGTTACAGTGGCCGTGTTGGTCTCACTGGTCAGAGTGAAGGAGTGAGACTCATCTTCGGCCTGGGGGGACAGCCACTCACTCGGTCCAGTCTTGGTCTCCATCTCATAGCTCACACACCGTGACCCCCAGGGGCCCAGGCGCCCCTGTGTCACCTCCTCCACCCACACACCTGGTCATAGTAGCGGAGCTGATAGTCCAGGATGTGCCCGTTGGCCTGCTCGGGCTGAGGCCAGGACACGGTGATGCTGTCGGAAGCCCGGCTCACCTGGTGCACCACTGGCACTGCGGAGGGGACTGTGGCAGGGGACCATCAGAGGCAGGGAGGCATGGCAGCCCTGGGGTGGGCGGGACCTCCAGTGGGCGGGATCCCTGGGGGAGCAGGGGCCCGGGAGGGGAGGGGCCTTCGTGGTGGGTGTGTCTATGGGCAGGCCTGGGAAGGGCAGGGCCTTCTGGGTGGATATGGCTCTGGGCGGGCAAAGGGGATGGGGTCTCTGTGGTGGGTGTGTCTGGGGGGGGTGAGTGGGGCCTCATGGAGAAATGTGGCTCTGGAAGGGTCACAGGGGACAGTTCTCTGTGGTGGGTGTGGCTCTGGAAGGGGTCTCCTAGGTGGGTGTGTCTCTGGGGTTGTCACAGGGGCGGGGCCTCAGTGGTGGGTGGGGCTATTGGTGGGACCTCAGTGGTGGGTGTGGCTATGGGCGGGGCCTCTGTGGTGGGTGGGGCTCTGGATGGGGTGGATTCTCTTAGGTGAGTGTGGCTCTGGGAGTGTCATAGGGGCGGGACCCCTAGGTGGGTGTGCCTATAGGTGGGGGCCTCTGTGGTGGGTGTAGTTCTGGGCGCGTCACAGGGCCGGGGTATCTTTGGTGGGTGTGTCTATGGGCGGGGCCTCTCTGGTGGGTGTGTCTATAGGTGGGGCCTCTGGGTGTGTCACAGGGGAGGGGCCTCTCCGGTGGGTGTGTCTATAGGCGGGGCCTCTATGGTGGGTGTGTCTCTGGATGGGGCGGGGTCTCCTGTGTGGGTGTGGCTTTGGGCGGGGCCTCCGGGATCAGTGTCCAGCCTCACCTTCATGGCTGGTGCTCACATTGATGGCTGCACTGGGCGGAGGGTCAGGACTGAGCTCGGACACACCATTGACCGCCTGCACCTCCAGGATGTAGGGCACGTGCGCCCGCAGGCCTCCGACCAGCACGCGGCTCTCGGTCAGGCCCCTCTGGCGGGGGTCGAAGTAGACCTCGTCCCTGCATCGGCGGCAGGCACCCCCTCCGGGCTCCCGGGGGCCTGGGCACTCCTTGCACACCACGTTGAAGAGCAGGTCGCCGCGGCCCCCCAGCTCCTGGGGCAGGCGCCAGTGCAGCATAAGCGCTGAGCCTTGTACCTCGAACCAGAGCTCACGGGGCGCTGAAGGGGGTCCTGGGGGCCAGGGAGGTGCAAGTTGGGGGGCTGTGAGCAGGGTGGGTGGTTCTGGGGGATAGCGTCAAAAGCAGGGGGAGTAGGGAGGAGGTTCAGGGAGAGGCATGAAGACCCCCAGAAGAGACACCATGCTCATCACAGCCCTGCCCAGCCCCTCCCTCCTGGTCCCACTCCTGGGCGCCGTCTTGGCTCAAGGTCTTGGGATAGTGGGGGCTCACCAGTGCAGGGGGCATCTGGGGGGTCCGAGCCAGCCCGGTAGAAGCCTGGGAGGCAGGGACACACGGGTGCCGCGGGGTCCGGGGCGTGACTGTGGATGGGGCACTGGGAGCAGGGCCCATTTCCTGATGAGGCTTTATAGGATCCCGCAGGGCAGGCTGGGGGAAAGGGGGACAGAAGAGCGTCACTGTCACTCCTCCCCACACTCCAACCACCTGGCTGGTCCCCGGAACTCTCCTCCTGCTCACACGCAGCCCTCCACCCACCTTCCTGCCCACAGGTAAGGATTACCTCCTCTCTTCATCCCCTCATTGAACTGCGTTTCCACAGATGGAAAACGTTGGGTGAATGCGTGCATGCTGAGGCCCCCGGAGGCCAGGTGTGCCCACTTTTCTGCACAACATCCAATGGACGTCTCCTGCCGCCTCCCACTGGACCCCACCCCACCCCACACCTGAATTCAGGTCAGCCCTAAGACCAAACTCCTAGCTGCAGAGAGGACAAAGGCCTCACCCAAAGAAAGCCAGAAATTTAACTTCTCGTGATTGCTCTTCCTGGGGCCTGCAGCCCTAAAACCCTCAGCAATTGCTAAAGAAAGTTCCAGAAGACTCCAGAAATTTCAGATGAACTTTGTGAAGCAAACTTGATCGAGAAAGCTTGATCTTTTCCTACGTTATCTTGCTCCTACCTTTGGGGATAAAATGGCATTTGGGGCACTTAGGACGGACCCCAGAAGTGGACACAGCCCGGGCCTGGGGCTCACCTTGGCAGCCCTTGTCCCCGCGGGCAGGCTGGTGTCCCGCCTGGCAGCGGCAGCTCCCCACGGCCACCATCCACTTGCCCTCCCCGTTACAGTGCAGTCTAGGAGCGCTGCTCCCTGTCTGACCCCCAACGCCATCTTCCTCTGGCTCTGCATGGGGCACACAGGTGCCCACGGCGGCCACCAGGGAGGCGCCCCCAGCCCCGCTGGCAGGCGTCTCAGGAAAGGAGGCGAGGGCGCGGAGCGTGGCTGGGCAGGCGTAGGAGAAGAGCCGGACAGCCACCAGCGCCAGGCAGGCGCCCGTGTCCTGGAAGGCCACGTAGAAGCCACGCTGCGTGAGTGGCCCGAAGCTGCGCTCCTTAACGTTGAGCTGCAGCCCCGCGCGAGGCCCAGAGGCCAACACGGAGGGAGCGGCGGCCGCGGGGAAGCTCTCATCGGCCGCGATCGTGTCCACCTTGGTCCAGTGCTGGCGGTGCCAGGACGCGGCGGCCTCCGGGCTGTCCGGACCATCGGCCTGGCGGTAGTAGAGCGTGAAGGTCTCGCGGCAGGCGCCCCCACCCACGGCCAGGCTGGCACAGGCGCGCACCGAGAAGTGCAGGCGCACGTGCGCCCGGTGCACCCCGCGCCGCTCCACGAAGTGCGTCTGCAGCCAGTTGTCCTGTCCAGAGCCTGAGGACCGAGCCACGTGGCAGGCCTCGAAGGTGCGGGTGAGGCGCCGCTGGTCGTCCAGGACGCTGACCTCGTCCCACTGCGGGAGGGAAACCGGGGAAGCCTCAGCTGGCACCTGGGAGCTTGTGTGCCGGTGTGTGACGGGTCTCCCACCTGGGGACAGGTTGATGCCATGCGAGCAGGGGGCAAGTGGGTGATGATGGGTAGCACTCACCCCACCTGGCGGGTAGGTGAGCCAGCCGATCTCCGACGTCTCCCCAGTGGTGTCCAGCAACACCTCTGCCCAGAGAAAAATGAGGCCGGAAGCCTCCTCACCAGGGCCCACCACCAAAGGACCCACACCGCCCCACCCTGCCCCTCCGACCACACCCCAGAGCGCAGCTGTGCCAAGGCCTATCCTGAAAACCCCAAGGCGGCCCTGGGCACCCTCTTGTCTGGAAGTTCCCACTCTTCTCTATTCTCACCTTCCAGGGCCAGAGCCGAGGACACCAGGGCCAGGACCCAGAAGCTGCACACCATGCCCGTGGCCCCCTCAGTCGCCATAGGGCATCTTCGGGGCTCCCACCATTGCCCCGGCCTCCACCTGCTCCCAGGTGGAGCTGCAGTTTCTGCCAGGCCGGGAGCAGCCCACACTTGTTTCCTAAGGAGATAGAGGAGATAGAGGAGAAACGCAGTGGGCTGTGAGGTTCCTGTCAGGAGTTCAACGAGGCTCTGCTTCTCCTCTTTTTTATTTTTTTTTTTTAATTTTATTTCGTGTTTGTACTGTCAAATTGGATCTGACTGGTACAGGAGGAGATTGTCCCTCCTTCTCCAGCAGAGCATTAGGTAGATTCAAACCGCTCACCTCTGGGATTGCAATGCAACTTCTTGCCACTAGGCCACCAGAGCTCACGGGCTTCTCCTTATGTAATTATGCTCTTCCATGTGATGTGATGTGATGTGATGTGACGTGACGTGATGTGTGTGACATGACGTGAGGAGCAGGGTATGGTCAGCATCTAGTACACTGTCCACAGCTGTTCTGACCTCACCTACCTCTGTCCTATCTCTAACTCTAGTGTCTGTATTTCTTTTTTCCCTCTATCTCATTCTCTCCTGCAGCTGACTCATTACTATCCACCCTTGATCTCTGGCTCCTGGGAGGTCAGCCAGCGCCTACATGAGTCAGAAGGTGCCAGCTGGTGCCTGACCCACAGATTTGCGGCCTGCCAGCCTCCACAGCTGTCTGCACTGTTTCCTGGAAATAACTTTTGAGTGCTTAAGGCATCCCGCTGCAGACCCAAAGGTCGGCAGTTTGAACTCACCAGCTGCTCTGGTTCCACAGACGCCCGGCCTCGGACCCCCACAGGACGGTCTCCTCCAGCCCACGCTGGAGCTAGGATTGAGAAGCAATTCAGTGGCAGTGGGTTAGATTGTTCACTAGTTTTGCTCGTTTAAAGACCCAGCCAAAGATATTCACTCCTGAGTGGTTCTCAGGACAAACTGTAGGGAGGACGGTTTGAGTTTGTTCTCCAGTCTGACTCATCCTGAAGACGATAATGACACTGTGTTTAGTAATAAAGGCGACACTGCTAATTTATGGTGTGAGGTGACAATAGAAATATGCACTATACCCCCACCAGTGGATCAGATATTTGTGAGAGATGAGGCTCTGGCTGGGGGTTGTGTATTTGGTGGTGGTGGTGGTGGTTGTATATCCTCGACCTATAGCGGACACTCCAGGATTCAGAGGTGGTACATTGCACGGGAGGAGAACGCCCATCCGTCTCCCATGGAGCAGCTGGGGGATTCGGACCTATGATTTTGTCACAATGAGAGATATAAGGAAGCCAGTTGGTTGGCCCTACGACGATTGGGCAAAGTGCTGAAAGAAATGGTCAAAGTCAAAGCTCAGAACCACTGACCAAGTATCACATACAAGACCTGACACTTGTGCCCTGTAAGCTGGTTGGCCTTCTTTCTTGTAGTAACAGGGCTAATGTTCCCCAAAACCACAGAGTAAGTTACAGTGCCAGGCGAATTCTTCACCCCAAATAGTGTGTAAGGTTAAAGTGAGTTCATTTATTAGGAAGAGATGGCATCTTTAAATCTAGGATGTGAACACAGTGAGCAAATAAACAGGAAGCTGGGAGCACTGGGTCCTTAAGTCACTCCTGCCGGCAGAGCCAGCCCATCTGAAGGCAGTGGCCCGTCTTTGACTGCTAACAACCCTGCATGGCACCACCATCGCCCCTTCCTCCCCGTGTGATGAGGTGAACTCGGCTGTGTCTGAGAGTCTTTGGGGTTCACGACAGACGTCTTGAAGGCATTTCTGAACATCCCCAGGAACCATCTTTCATTTTTGTTTCTAAACCTAAACTAGATTTAGGGCTCCATGAGGCCAAGAGGCGAGCTACAAAGGGGGGACCCATGAGGAGCACGCTGTGCACCAAAAGAATGGCTTCCCACCCCATATCTGCATGCAGAACCCCAGGGAATATGCACAGGCAGCAGGATATCAGCAGAGAACTACGAGATGTGCAAGCTGGGTTTAGAAGAGGCTGTGGCACAAGGGACAGCATAGCCAGTGTTAGATGGATCTTGGCCGAAAACATAGAGTACCAGAGGAATGTCTGTGTTTCACTGACTATGCAAAGGCATTTAACTGTGTGGATCACAATAAATTGTGGCTAATCTTCTGAAGAGTGGGGAACACAACTTAATTGTGTTCCTGTAAAACCTATACTTGGACCAGGAAGCAGTCGTCAAAACAGAGCAAGGAAACACTGCATGGTTCAGGATCAGAAAAGATGTGTGTCAGGGATGCATCCTATCTCCATACCTTATCAATATATATATGCTGAACACATAATTTGGGAGACTGAACTTTGAGGAGGAATGTGGCTTCAGGATTGGAGGGGAACTAATCAATAACCTGTGTTATACAGATGACACAACCTTGCTTACTGAAACTGAGAAGGACATGAGGCATCTGCTGCAGAAGGTCAAGGACTGCAGTCTTCAATATGGATTGAAACTTAACATCAAGAAAACAAAGATTCCCACCATTGGGCCAACTGGCCACTTCATGATGGGTGGAGAAGAGACCGAGATTGTTAATAGCTTCAGCTTGATTGCTGTTAGAGTGTTGAACATACTGTGAACTGCCAGAAGAACAAACAGATCTGTTCTGGAAAGGTTGAAACCAGGCTGCTCGCTGGAGGAAAGGATTTTGAAGCTCCATCTTACATACTTTGGGCGTGTGGCCAGGAGGGACCAGTCCTAGAAGAAGAATATCATGCTTGCAAGGGTAGAGGGACAACACAGGACAGGAAGACGCAGGATGAGATTAATTGACTCAGTGACTAGAGGAATTGGATTAGGTCTGTCAGAGATGATGCAATTGGCTCAGGATAGGGCAGAGTTCAGAGCTGAGGTACAGAGAGTCTCTGAGTCACAAGTGACTTGATGACACATAACAATAACAACAACAACTTAGGTATTAAGGTTGTAGGATAATGGTGTCAGTCTGAATGTATTGATCTGAGTCCACTAAACACAGGTTCTCCTTTCAGTATTCCAGCTTGAGGAGTTGAAAAAGTTGAATCATGTATTGAACTGGTTTACTGAAGCTTGGGCTGAATGGTGGCCTGCACTATATCAGAAGCCAAGGATAGTGAAACTTCACCTCATGTATTTGGGGGTGTGTGGGAGTTCTCTCTCTCTCTCTCTCTCTCTCTCTCTCTCTCTCACACACACACACACACACACACACACACACACACACACTGCCATTAAATCAGAACCAATTCATCACTGACCCCTCACCAGGTTTTCAAAGACTCTTAAGTGGCACCGGAGGAGACTGCCTGTCTTTTTCTCAGAGCAGTAGAAGGAAAAAGACATCATGTTTGGTAAATAAGGTCAACAGAAGAGGAAGACTCCAGGAGATGGACAGACAGTGACAGCAGCACGGATTTAATCACAGTGGACTGTTGGGTTGGCACAGGACTGGGCAGGACTTCATTCTGTTTACATAGAGCCACTGTGAGCCATTTGATGGCACCAAACAACTATAGACCTACCACACGTACCATGGAACCCAGTAGCCAAAGGCCAAAGGAAGTTGGCATAGTACAGTGGACTGGTCAGTTTGGATGCAAAGACTTGCACATGGAGTGTCCAAAAGACACTTTTCACCACCACAGTGAGAACCACATCTGCAGGGGCCCCAGCGTCCCTCCACAATTACCCAGAAAATGTCAGTGCTATTTTATGTCTGACTTGACAGCTAACTGCAATGAGGGCTCCACAGTGGCATAGAGAGTTATACGTCAGGGTGCTAACAGCAAAGTTACCAGTTCGCATCCACAGTGGCATAGAGAGTTATACGTCAGGGTGCTAACAGGAAAGTTACCGGTTCGCATCTACCAGCTGCTCTGTGGAAGAAAGCTGAAGAGGCTGCTCCGGTTAAGATTTACAGTTTTGGAAACTCAGTGGAAGGTACCACGAGTTAGAATTGACTCAAAGACAGTGGGGTGAGGGTGGGGGTTTTATTTTTTAAACTGCATTGGATGAATCATGAAGAATACCATCAGCTCTTGTAAACTAACCAGGTGGTGACTCGGATTGAAACTGTTTCAGACGTGGTTTCATTGCCTGAGAAAATGAACTCATTTCCCGGTATCTGGCTTGTGGCTACAGAGCTCACCAAAGCCTTTTCCCCCAATTCTGGTCCTTTAATCCTTTAATAAAAGGACCACCAGCAGCAGTTTTTCTTCAGCAACGTCCTTTTTCTCAGCAATTTACCTTAGATTTCCATCAGCTCTCCTGCACTATGTCATCACTTCGTCCACAGGATCCTTCACACCTTTCCCTCCCATAAGACATCGCACTGGTCCATCGCATTAATGATGTCATGTGGATTACAGCTAATAAGGAAGAAGTGTTAATGACTCTAGACTTATTGGTAAGACATTTGCAAGTACCATACAGTCCACTATGACCCTTAGGGATCCTGTGAACAACCAACTGAAGCCTTGTTCTATCCTACACCCAGCTCAAGCCCGTTTGTGCAGTCACGGAGTCAATCTCACTGAGAGTTTTCCTCTCTTTCACCGACCTGCTACTTTTCCAAGTATGTCTCTTCCCAGGGACTGGCCTCTTTTAACAACATGCTCAAAGTATGTGAGATAAAGTTTCACCACCCTTGCCTCAAGGAGCACTTCAGCTGCATTTACTTCCAACACATATCTATCTGTTCATTCTTCGGCGGTCTGTGGAATATTAATGACTCCTCTCCACCACCACAACGCAATGCATTGATTCTTCTTCTGTCATCTTTAGTCACTGTCCAACATTCACAGGCATAGTCAGTAATTGAAAATGCTGTGACTTGGAGCAGGTGGCCCTTAGCCTCTAAACGGGCATGTTTCTCTTTAGTAGTTTGGAGAGGTCCTTGACAGCAGATGGAACACCTCATTTGATCTTTGGACCGCTGATTGATTGTGGATCCAAGTAAGATGAAGTCATTGGCAGTT